TAGATTAGGTTTAGCAGGGTTTATTGTAAAGACATATTGGTGCGATTCTGTAAATATATTCGATATGTTTTGGAATATTGTTACTTGCTTGATTTTTATATTTATTTGAATAGAATTTTGATCTAAGTTCAAACGTTGAGTTGTTTGATTTATGCAGAACCATTTATTTTGTACCAAAATCTTTTCTCAGAGTTAATATTGGTTGCAGGTTTTTTTTTTTTGAAAAGTATAATTCTGATTTAGGTTTATTTGTGGTTCATTGATACTTCTTTTTTTCTGAAGTAATGATCGTTACTTGTTGTCTGTTTAAAGTGTATTTTCTGTGGTTTGGAGCTTGCATGTTTGTGTGAAGTAACTTTTTTGTTTGTAGTATTCCTGCTAGGCTATTCAGAGTTCTTGCTTGTGCTTTTTTTAATATATTTTTGAAGTGGATTATCTATGGCTTCAAAAAATTCTTGGGATTTCGACGTAAGATGACTGTCCTTTTATCAGTGATGCAACTTTTGAGCCGTTTCTGCGACTTGAAAGTTGTTTCCCCAATGTAGTTTAACTGAACAATCCTTGCTACTGTAGAAGTAACAGGGTTCTATGCGTTTCATTCACCTTACATTTTAAAGGTCACGGTAGTTGTTGTTTGGGCGGGTTGAACAGAAGTTTTTAAGGATGACTGGAGTCCTTCGGATAGTAGCAGTACTGGTAGGAGGCTAAAGCTCTCCAGTTTCTTGGTGAGAGGGAACTTCTGCCTTGACTTATTGATGGTCGCCTTATTAGGCTAGTAGTGTGAGGTCTTTACTGCCGTCAAATTGAAGTGGTTGACTTATGGGGCAGTTACCTTCAATGGCTTAGTCTGCACGGGTGCATTACACTGTTCATATGGTAAATTATAATCAAATAACTGAGGGCGCAAGATAGGGGCAGATTTAACACCTGGAGTGGAAGTAGTGTTCTGAATAGTTACTGCAGTTTCTGATTAGGCCTCTGATATCCATTCCCGTGTTTTTATGGCTTTAGCACACGTTGTTTTGCTCAGTGGTTATTTTGGTGGCAAGATCTCGTGTGTTGGAGGAATTCGGACTGTAGGCGATTTTTGAAGTTTAAGGTTTTGAAGACAGTAGTTATTGCCTGAAATAGGGGCTTAACTTTCGTGTTAAATGGTTAATTTTCGAAGAATCGTTTGTTTTAGCGAGCGTGCAAGAAACTTCTTTTTTTGAAAAATAATTTTTTTTTTTGCGTCTCTTAGGTTCGTGATTTAGGTGAGTCGTTTTTCGAGGTTCATGAATGCTTTTCGCCCATATGTGTGGGACCCAAGCCTTATTATTGGTCAAATGGTTTGTATGCAGGCAGTATTTTATGCCTCCCAATCCATTTTGCTTTTAGCAGCACGTATTGGTGGTCACAGTGCAACGGTGCAGACTGTATTCTCACCTCAGGTATTTGAAAAATTGATTAATGGTGTTGCATTTGAGTTCTTGAATAAAGTTTCATGACACTTTTTTGTGGTGCGGGTTGGATGGCCCTTCTAAATTTCTGAATTTTATATCGAATAAAGGGTTGTGGAAGTTTTTTAATGGGCAAATTTAGTGTTATTTGAGCCAGTAATGCTTTTGACTGTACGTTATTCCTCGAATTTCTCTTCATCCGGTCAACTGTTTATGTTTGTTTTGCAGGTTAACTTCGATTCAGCACTAGTTCAGTTAGCTTCCGAACTAGTTTGTGCCTTCACCTTAGTTCGTGTCGTGCAACGAACAAGGCAATGTTTAGACTTTGTGTGCACCTTCCATCTTTTTCACTTAATTTTTTTAATACTGTATAATAGGTTATTTCCGACAGAACTCTCCTGGTGGCTTTTTCAAGTGTTTGGTATAACTGTTTGCACTGTTTTGGGAGAGTACCTCTGCAGGAAAGCTGAAAGTCGAGAAATACACCTGTCACAAGCAGCAGCAAAATATGAAGTATAAATTGTACCCTAATAACCTGTTTGTTTATCTGTTTATTTCCCTCGCTTTGTTTAAATGAAATTTCACCGTCTCATCAGCAGCTATCGTAATTTTCGTTCACTGATGATGTTAACACGATCATAATCTTGCCAATGAACCATGAGAATTTGAAGATAACATAGTACTGAATGTATCAAATAAGACAATGCAGTGCATTATATGTACATGGTTACATTCAGAAAAAACCTTGATTTCTCCATCTATCCAACAGTTTCATCCAAAAAAGTGAGTACAGCAATCTTCCACGCTAACATATGCAAAATCGAGTCTTCCTTGTTTGCTTTACTAAGCTTACTTTCCTGTCTACTGATGAGACAATTGCTAAAGCTCCTTCCAAGCAAGATACTAGATATTTTTATTTTGTCTGGTCAGTCGCGTTTACAATGACAATTTCGTAGGTCACGTTTTATTGATTTATGTGCCATATTATAATGGAGACAATCCGTACCCATCAAATACAAAGGGGTTTCATGAAATAACAACAGGGTCTACTTGCGGATAGTCAGCAAGATCTTTCTGTTCAAAATAAATACTGATAATAGCAACAAATAATGTTAATTCGTAGACAATTGAATTATCTAAAATGTCGCTCTCGTTTAGCGTTGAGCGGAGGAACTTGGCGTGTTTTGCAAACTCGCGTATTGCAGAGCATTCGTCCGACGGCGGCGGGCATTGTAGCACCAATAAGACTGCGTAGAACCATTCGAAAAGTTCTCTTGAATAGCCATTCTCCACAAAATACTTTAAAGAAAATAATTAGAAAATGATTTTGGGGTTGAAATCAAGGGCACAGCTAGTACCAGTTCACCTATCCAGGCGGATCAAATGCAATGTTGATTTGTTATTTGATGGTTACCCTAGTTAAATGCTCGACGAGATGGTTGACCCTGTTTTCCGACAAAGAAAGTATGATTGGTACTGTCGGGGTACGTCGCTTTTCAGTCACTGTAATCGCACTAACGCTTCTGTCACTCTGATTATTAACTCGCTCCCGTTTTAATCCACAAAATTTGATCCACTGCTTGTAGTCTGCCTAAAAATTAATGCTAGTAAATCAACTAACTCCTAAAAAATGTAAAAATTTTTTTCTGACAAATCTCAAGCTATCAAAAAACGGAAAAAAAAAGTATAATCGGTCATTTTTAAATCAAGTCCAAACATCCAATTTTAACAAATTTTTAATTAAGTCCTTGCTGGTTCTTTAAATTCACTACAGCTGTAATAGTTATAATAAAAAGCTAGGAATATTTAATCCTTTTCAGTGGTACACTCAAGGGGAACTAGGTGCACTCAATTTTACAAAAGTCAGTTCTCGAACATTTACTTCTTCAGATTCTCCACTATCATGAACAAAGTTACATTGCACACATAACTTCGACCTCATTATATTAACTCTAAATGAGCATACCGTAATCGTTGAGCTAATTACTAGTTTACAGATGTAAATTGCAAAAAGCTATTTGAATGAACGTTTCAAGGGTACAGCCTAGCTACTGCTTTCTTTTTAAAAAAGCCTGCATCTCTTAGTTCACAAAAGAAATAACTTAACCGGCGCAGGGAAAACGACATCCTGAACCTCAGGACAACTCGACCTTTTTGATTCAATCTCGGACCTATACTCAGAAAATAACGAGCACTGCAAGAAAAAAAAAAGATAAGAAAACGAAAGAAATGAACTTGCGACAGGACATACGCCTTATTTTAATCTCAATAATTTCTATAACTGCAATAACGTGATAAAAGAAAATATCCTGACCCGGACACTTCACCTTATCTTTTAAACTAAAAAGTACCTTAGCTTTGCACCATTCCTCCGAAGGCAACCCAACCACTGTGATTGGAGAATCGCCCGCGAATGATCTGCTAAATGACGATGGTTTAGCTGGACCGGCAAGACCTTCCTTCACGCACACTACAGCCGCACATCTAGAGCGCTGAACTGCAGTCTTAAAAGTTACCCCTGTCAACAAAAACGACACTAATACCTCGCAGAAAATTTCGGCTTTCTTGTTCTAGAGTTTAGATAGTTACACCAGAATTATGCAATCAAGCGCTTTTTGGAAATGTATTCCCTTCAGTTGCACAATAAGCAAATAAACTGCCTACCTGCTGCAGATAATGGATCGCTGAGCGCGGGGCTTCGTTCATATCGATCATTTTTTCATCAAACTCTCCCAAATCAAACACAGCTTCTTGTTCCATTTATGAGAAATCTGTTTAAGACAACGTGCAGAAGAATTAGATATTCTGCAGTGGTGACCCCATACAATGACTATTATGCTGCAAAAGCGACTTATCTGTTATAAGCGTGTTAGGTTCGTGGGCAAGCCAAATAAGCCACTGCAAATGGCTGAGCTGGACACACCAGCCAAGCTCTGGTCTTCACTGCCTATCGAAAAGCTCCTTGCTATTAAAAAATATGAATCTACAAGCTTAATGAATTCCAAGACAACTCTCTCTTTCCTCCTCCTCGAATTCATATACCCTTCACTACAGTTAGCAGATAAGGCTACCGTCTAGCCCACCACTCAAGTGACATTGTTTGCCCTACATCATATACCACCACGTCTTTGGCAAGGTATACGATAGCGATAACGCGATTATTACGAGGCCCGGCCTCGACGACAGCTGTTGGGTTCGGTCCATGTGTAAAAATTGCCACATCATCAATGAAGCCTCCTTCAGGATTTTTTCTGCGGTGCGCACTCGTTAACTGCAATTATTGTGAAGCGGCGGATGATAAAACAACAGGAATGTGCGCCAGCATGGAAGGATCAGATAAATGGGACGCTTCCGCACAAGTGGAAGGCTACTCGAGCAGTAATTCAGTAGTTAATTACAATTTTGCTTCCAACAATGCTTAAACATCCGTGAAACCGTGGTTTTCTTAATGTCTAAAAAACAACCAATACTTCACTTCGCTTCTGTTCATCAGTCGCACTGAGGCTAACTGTCACTGTTTTACAATTAATGTTGAGTAAGTTTTAAAAAAAACATGAATACGAAGTATAGTACCAATTAAATAGAATAAAAAACCAAGTCTCAACCATCAAAATCAGTCCCTTGTAACAAGGGATTTGCGGAAGAGAGCCAGTTACTCACGGCATTAAGCGAAGTTCTTCTGTACAAGTTTGAAACCCTGATGAAATTGAGTGCCACTAATATGAATTAGAAGTACGCTGCTATATGCGATGAACGATTGTTCAACAAAATGAATGGGACTAGGGAAATCGAACGACAAGTGGATTTGTCTCAAAGCGTCTACAGAGCGGACAGAAAGTGTTGGTTCAGTATTCCCTTCAAAGCTGTTCTCCTAAATAACTTTTAAGTAACCCTCACGTTACTGGAACGGTATCTTCAGGGACCCATCACTTTACTTATCACAAATGTTTTTTGTTTATCTACCGACTGCTAAATATAAAAAGCATATACCTTGCCGAAGCACCCGGCACACATTTAGCATCTTCCTCTCACACCTAAATTTTCAAAAAGAACCTCTCGTAAGTGGTGAATAATACAAACGAACTTACAGAAAACATGATACTTCGCTTTTGCACTACCCATACACCTCCAACAATATATCGCATTAAGACATAGCAACATCAAACTCCCAGTCACCGTTCAAAACTACTAGAATTAAGTTCAAAAATATCAAAGCTTTTGCGAACACACCACCAAAGCTATCACTCTTCACAACAAAACCATTATTACACCTTTTTTATTCAAAAATTAAAAAAGCACAGATAAGTGCCACAAACAATTTTGAAACAGCAAGAAACTTCTTCAACGTAGCCAAAAGCTTTCGAGGAAACTCTAAAGCTACAAAAACAAAAACTGTTTGCCGAAAGGACTCCTAGTACATGCTGCAAGTGGACACCGAAAACTTTTTTGGCAAAAGAATTTAACAGAACATACCCGTGCAATTCCGTGACAAACTACAAGACAGTTTCTTAAGATAATTTACGATTACCAATAAAGTCGACACTTGCTAGCATTGTATGGTAACAAATGGTCTGGATATACTTCTGCATGTAGAGGGCGATTGATTGAAACGCTCATTAACTTAAATCTTAGAATTCTAACTTAAAAACACTATAAAACAAATACAGCAACTTTGCCAAAAAAAAAAAAAAAAAAAAAAAAAAAAAAAAAA